GGGCGGGGGACCCCGAGGCCTCGTGGGGCCGCGGGAGGGCTCTGCCCACGGAAGGCGCTGAGGGACAGCGCGGCCAGGGCGGCGCCGATCTCTGAACCGAGCGCCACGCCGGGAAGCAGAGTGCCGCCTTCGGAGGGAACCCTGAAACCTTTGGGGGCGCCCTGAGGACGCCCGGGGCTGCCCGCGCGTGTAAACCGCAGACTCGTGTGTCTGCGAGTGCGTGCACCCGTACCTTCTGTGACTTTTGGTCGCGTGTAATTGATGAGGCCAAAGGCACCTGCCGTAACTGAGAACACACTCCTCCGTGGTCCTAAGTTCCAGGGGTGCCAGCGCCTCACTGCAGAACTTCAGATGCTGCATTGCCTGCTTCAGAACTAGAGTCACGTGACTGACACCCAAACTCATCCTCTTCTGAGTGTGTCAAGGGCCTTGGACTCCAGTCCTCTTGACTAGGGCACAGTTAAGGTGACCCATGGAGACTGGTTGCTGCTGTAAGGCCTTTTTATAAATGTGGTTAAAACGTTAGAGTGTGGAGAATGGTGTCTGGGCACCACACTCTTAGCCTCATGCTCTAGGATGCACTGACTTACTTTAACATACTTTTCACATGTTTCAGAACTGTGGAACCACTGGAGTATTACAGGAGATTTCTGGTGAGTAAAGGTGATTTTGTACGGTAGGGCTTTTGATGAAAATGTCATGCATTAAGGCATAGTTCTTGAATTCATTTAAATTAATAGAGCTTAATGTGTTTTCCCTTTCATACATGAAATACATGTGTAATCTATTTCCTTATAAACATTTAGAAAGAAAACTGCCGTCCTGATGGAAGAGAACTTGGTGAATTCAGAACCACAACTGTCAACATAGGTGAAGATAACTTTATTTCAGCTGGTGGGACCCTCCCCCCATCCTGTGTGCCACTTTTTGTTTTAGCCAGTTCTACTATGCCTAAGGCATTTGATGATGTTAAGGTTTTTATCATTACACCACCTATGTAGTTGATCTAAATATGATTAATCAGCTCAAACTGTGAGACAGAAGAAAAGAAAAATTAAGACATTAGTCATTCAATTTCAAATCACTGACTTGAGCCTGTCAAGTTACAGAGGCAACTTAAAAGTCTAGTCAGATAACCATACAAACTAAAGCATTTATACAATAACTTTGTGGTTATTTATTTTCCTTGCTTTTTTTTTAAGGCTTTTGTATAAAAACCGTGTTTCCCTTTCCAGGTTCAATCAGTACGGCGGATGGTTCTGCTCTAGTGAAGCTGGGGAACACCACAGTCATTTGTGGAGTTAAAGCAGTAGGTTCACTGTATGTCTGTTGCCAGCTGAATTCCAAATTAGATTCATGCTTACAAGGTTGTAATTAATTACGGGTCAGGATTTAGAGTTGTAATCAATCCCCCAATATTTTTTTCAACCCGTGAGTGTAACCCTTTCTAGGGCGAATAACTGAATCTCAGCACTTCATACTTTAATTAAGATGTTGGCAATATCATTTTGGGGATTAAGATTGTTCCTGGGATATCTTTTAGCCATCCATAGTTTTTAATTGTTACTCACAAAGGAACAGTAGCTGTCTGCTGGCCGCCTGCTGTTGGAGCATCTTACTAGGCTCTTTCAGAATTACAGTCTCCACCCCTGCTCAGCCCATGAAGCTCAGTAGCTTCCCAGGTGTGTAAGGCTCATAACAGAGCCTGATGACAAAGCCTGTGCTTTGTGATGCTACACTGAACGACTTCCTCCTTCAGGTCTATGGGCAAGCTGAAGTGGTAACTATTGGAACGCGGACCCCTTGCCAGGTTTATGCTGGAAACTTAATGCCACTGTCTCCTTTGGAACTTGGGAATAACCCCTAGGAGTAGGCAGGTACTGTTCATCTGTCGCTATGACAGAGAAACTTATAAGGTCAAATAACTTGCCCCTAGGAATTGTGGGTCTACAGCTGACCTTGGCCTGTTACTGTTAGTTACTATACTTCTGACCAGTACTAGTTACTAAGTCTAGCCATGTTAAGTGTCACGTGATTAAATTCAGATTCAGATTGTTGATGAACGGCAGTCTGATGACAGTGCCCTTGTGAATATCCTGTGAACCACTGGGACGTGCAGTGCCTGTATCCTTGGGACCCTGCCATAACTCCCCAAGCAGTATAGATGCTAAACATGGGATTACTGGCTGAAGTGGTCTTTGGTACTGCCTCTGTAACTAATTGCTAGAATGTCTTCTTAGTTTTTTTGTCTGTTTTTGTTTTTCAAGACATAGTTTCTCTGTGTAGCTTTGTGCCTTTCCTGGAACTCACTTGGTAGCCCAGGCTGGCCTTGAACACACAGATCCGTCTGGCTCTGCCTCCTGAGTGCTGGGATTAAAGGCATGCGCCACCACTGCCTGGCTTTTTGTTTGTTTGGTCTTCTAGTTTTTGAGTAGCTTCAGTGGAATACATTTGGTTTGCTTTTGTAGGAATTTGCAGCGCCACCACTAGATGCCCCTGATAAAGGATATATTGGTGAGTTAAATTGTTGTTGGTTGTTTTTCTACTATTTTGGCTTTTTTGAAGGGCCAGTCACCCAGCTCCCAAATAAATCATACAGGGAGGCTTATAGTTAATTGTAAATGCTCGGCCTTAGCTTGTCTTGTTTCTTGCCAGCTTTTCTTAACTTTTAATTATCTCATCTACGTTTTGCCTCTAGGCTTTTCCAGTTCTCTTACTTCTGTAAATCTTACTCTGTGGCTTGCTGTGCAGCTGGGTGCCTGGCCCCTGGAGTCCTCTTCCTCCTCTGGCTGCTGCTTTTGCCTCCCAGATTTCTCCTATTTATCCTCCCTGCCTGCCAGCCCTGCTTATCAATCTCTCCTGCCCTACTATTGGCCGTTCAGTTTTTTATTAGACCATCCGGTGTTTTAGACAAACTAACATAGCTTCAGAGTTAAACAAATGCAACATAAACAAAAGTAACACACCTTAAAATAACATTCCCCAACATTAAATGCTCTTGTAATTTTAACAAACAAATACTTGAGGGAGTTTAAAGTTAACTGTTGTAGTGAAGTGCTGATAATTGAGGTAGATAGTGATTCCCTATATTCAGAAATAGAACAATGCCCCCTTATCCTGAAACTTTCTGCCTATTAGAAGATAACCAAGACAAGGCACATCCCATGAACTTAACTTTGCCAACCCCATATGGGTAGGTAATCTTTGCTTACATATTCAGTTGTACACATTCCAAGGGTAGTTGTAGGCGAAGGCCATCACTGCACACTGAAATTGGTCTGCACTCAATTTAGAGTGGGCAATATTTTTGGTCTTGAATTATCTTTTCTTTGGGGTAGGAACCAACATTTAAAATTTCAATAGTTGGGTGTGAGCAAAGGACTGTCCTGCTACAGACAGGTATTTGGGGGTGTGTGTGCAGAAAAACTGTGAAGAACTAAGATTGAAATGTAATAAACTTTTTAAGCCAAGTATAAATTTCCCTTTCTCTGAGCCTGGCAATCTGAGAAAAATGTAATTCTAGCACTGCCATCTTTCCACCCTAAGCGTCTGTCCCTGGCTAGTCCCCTATGCTGTACAGCAGTCCCTGTACTAGTGACCTCAGCTGTCAGGGGTGAAGTTTATTTCACACCTGCAGTGTTTCTTTCAGTCCCTAACGTGGATCTGCCACCACTGTGTTCATCGAGGTTTCGGACTGGACCTCCTGGAGAAGAGGCCCAAGTGACCAGCCAGTTCATTGCAGACGTCATTGAAAAGTAAGACTATTATGATAAAACTTTGCCATCATGCATTCTTACGTGTTTTGCCTTCACATTTATTGTGTTCTTTATCATTAAATCAAGCTCACAGATAATTAAGAAAGAGGACTTATGCATTTCTCCAGGCAAGGTAAGAACAGACTGAGCTTTTATGAACTCTGAAGTGGCTGTGTGGTCTAATGTGGTAGTGGGAATGAATCAACAACCTTAAACCCTGAGATTCTAGAGTTTAGAAGAATTCTGTAAAAGTTCATTTTATTCCATAAAATTCTCTAAATAAACCATCGCTTCATAAATTCCTTCCATGTGGGTTGTTTTTTTTTTTTTTTTTTTTTTTTTTTTTTTTTATATTTTGATGAGTTAGACTCACATTGTGTACCCAGGCTAATTTTTACCTGCTAGTCCTCCTGCCCAGTCTCTCAAAAGCTGGGATTACAGGTTCGTGCCATTGTGTCCAACTAACAAGTAATCCACTACCTGTCTGGGAGCTAACTTTTACACTAAGGTTACACACACACACACCACCTTTCCTCTTAAAACAAAAACAAAAACAGGTCTTTGATCCCTGAGATCAGGTTTTACTCATGCTGATGTTTATGGTGAACCCATGTGTATCGTCCTACAGCGGCTTCCTTTGCTAATCATAGCGCTAACTAGCGTGTAAAACCTCCATTGCATGATAGGAGAGCAGAGATTACACCTGGCCTTTCATTTGCCAACCTAGCAGCGAGAATAAAACTGCCTCTTTGCACCTGTAGCTCTCTTTAGGAAAAAGGGCAATTTTTCACTTGTTGGTTTGCTAGTCCAAACCCAGCTTGTGTAACGTGACCACTTTGACTTCCTACTTTGTTAGTGAAAAAAGTTAGGCCTTCAAGTCTATCTTGTTTGTCTAATCAACGTTCTATAATTCTTAGGCCTAAGGACACACAAATTCTGTTGTCAGGTCTGATTTCTTTTGTGTGAACTGTTTTAGCTGGCTTGGGTTCTGTACTGTGACCTTATCTGCCTAGACTACGATGGAAATATTTTGGATGCCTGCACATTTGCTTTGTTAGCTGCTTTAAAAAATGGTAAGCAACCTTAATAAAACCATTTTCCTGCTAATATGGTCAGAGTCCAGCTGGTCAAACCTCTTACAGGGTGTTTCTGAGACTGAGTTATCATTCACATGATTTTTGTTTTGTGAGACAAGAGTGTCTCTTAGCCCTGGCTGGCTTTGAACTCCTAATCCTTCTACCTCAGCCTCCCAGATGCTGGCAACATTTTAAGTATGAACTACCTAGCCCAGCTTGTGCTCCTAAGTTAGTTCACTTTACAGGGTTTTGTAAAAATGGACTTCCTAGTTTTTTATTCTGTAGCCTTTAGAATTGCTGTGTCTCCACTTGTAGTCATTAGGGCAGCAGTCCTTCCCAGAATCACAGGATTCTCACTACAGTCCACATGGTTCATGCAGACTGACCATTAAATATCACCTGATAGTGATCTCGATGTCTTTATTTCACTTGTGCATATTCCAGGTCATTCTACATTGCTGAATTGATTACATGCCTGTAATCTCAGAACACAGTGGGTGAGGATGGCAGTTTGAGGCCAGATCAGACTACAAAACAGGATCCTGTCTATAAAAAACATCCAATTAGAGTGGAAGATACAGTTACTAGTGGTGTTAGTGTAGTCCTAGTTAACCTGCATCCAGCCTGCTTCCTCTGTAATAAAATGGTACTGAAGAGCAGTACTTGCTTCTTCAGGAGGGTAGCTGACCAAATGAGTGTTATAAAATAGCTATTTCCAGTCCAGAGAAGCTAGCGACAGTGGCAGAGGCACACGCCTTCAATCTCAGCACTTGAGAGGAAAGGCAGGGGCATTTCTGAGCTTGAGGCCAGCCTGGTCTACAGAGCGAGTCCTAAGACAGACAGGGCTATACAGAGAAACCCTGTCTTGGGGAAAATAAAAAACCAAAACAGCTTGGCCGGAACATAAGATGTTCTGAAAAGCACTTTTCCTCTACCATATTTACCTCAACTGTTATGAGATATTTAAACAAAACTATACTGATACCAGGTGAGTAGCACACAACTCTTAGTCCCAGAGTGAGTTCCAAGCTAGATGGGCTACATAGTGAGATCCTGTCAAATCAGTAACTGTTCTGGATAAGCTAAACAGGGAAAAGTTAAGAAAGCACTGAAACACTCACTTTCTATGTTTACTTGCCTTTTTCTAGTACAGTTGCCCGAAGTTACTATAAACGAAGAAACTGCTTTAGCAGAAGTTAATTTAAAGAAGAAAAGTTATTTGAATGTTAGAACAAACCCAGTTGCAACTTCCTTTGCTGTGTTTGATGAGTAAGTTAATGGCTTGTTACTTAGCTGTCTTTATAAGGAATGTCCCCAGCTGACCACCAGCCCTACTTTGCCATGGACATCTTGGTCCTGCCCTGCATTTCCTTCAGTCAGAGCTGCCATCTGCAGGGCATCCTGATGTACAGGACCAATTCTGTGCTCCCTCACTTGCCCCTGCACTTCTTTACCCCTTTTGGTGACAGGGACTGTATGGGGCCTCTTCACACTAGGCAAGTGCTTCATTGCTGAGCTATGTTCCTAGCTACTCCTCTAGCATCCTCTGAAACTCTTCAGTATTTGCTGCAGAACCTAAAATGTTCCCAAGCTGAAGGGCAAGGAGTTCACAAATACTGGGCTTCAGGGTGCTGCCACTCTGGCTTCCTCCAGTTCTGGATTAGCTCTTCCATAGGCTGAAATCAAAGCAGGTCTTTCAGTACTGTTTGAAATCAGTCTCTTCCTAAAATTGGTACTACCTCCCACAATGCACATTTTTTTAAACACTTTTTTTTTTAAATGTAGCACTTTGCTGATAGTTGATCCTACTGGAGAGGAGGAACACCTATCAACAGGAACCTTAACGATAGTAATGGATGAGGAAGGCAAGCTGTGTTGTCTTCACAAGCCAGGTATGTTGTTTCCACAGCAGCTTTAAACACTGTGGTGGGGAGCAGGTGGGGAGTAGTTGGGGTGTCAAGTGGAATGTGGGATGTTTGACTGTTTTGCTAATTTAAGTTTATTGGGCATCTTTGCTGTCTCAGTGTTGTATATCATTCTTAAACTTTGAACATATTTGTCTTGTGGAGTCTTCCTAAACTACCCTGCAATCTTGAGATCATACCACTTGATTTAGATGATGTCTGACTTAAAGGCAAACATTTGACATGATGTTCAATATTCATAAAAGAACAGGAACACTGAAAATTGGCATAATTTTTCAGGTGGGAGTGGACTTACTGGAGCTAAACTTCAGGACTGCATGAGTCGAGCAGTTACGAGACACAAAGAAGTGAACAAGCTACTAGATGAAGTAATTCAGAGTATGAAACACAAATGAACAGCCACCACGATTGCAAAACATCTGTAAAAACTGTATTTGTTACACTGTGCAGGTTTTTTTATACTAAATAAATACCAACTACATTCCTTTGAAAGATATTTCTAGTAGTTCTTAGGTTATTTCTGTAGATGGTATATACAGGAAAACATTTAACCCATGAAAGAATCACAAGGTTGTGCTTTTGTATAAAGTATGCGTATCTATCAATGTAAAATACTGACATCTTAGGGGAAAAAATGAAGTAGAAATACAATTCTTTTTGTTCAATGGCCTTGTGTTTGTATAAAAAAAAGAGAGAGAGAGAAAGAGAGAGAGAAAAGAAGACCTCCTGCTCAGAATTTTGGAGTGGTTGGCATGCCTCTCCTCACTTTACTCTTTGACTGACCACCTGGATGCCGGTGACGATGGAGCTGGGCTGTTTGTGCGGCTGCTGCTGCCATAGCCATCTGATGTTGCAAGAATCGCAACTGCTGCAAAAGGGAGGGAAAAAAAATCACGTTATGCTAAATGCACAAGTGTGCCAAGGTGCTTCCCCAAACAGGACAGTGATGAAAACAAGCCGGAGAGGAGAAAGCATGGGGTAACAAGGGTACTCCCCAAACAGACAGTGCAGGAGCTTGCTGAGAGCTTTAAATACAATTGTTGAAAGCATCACATCTGTTACTTAGCCCTGGCAGTCATACTGCAGTAATGCAGCAACTTCAGTTACCATTTTGTTGTATAATGATAATTCATAGCAAAATAAACCAACTATCAAGAGTCGATCATAGTATGCTGACACCCTTTCCTAAAATATGTAACAGTTTTCTAAACATGTATGACATTTACTAACAGGAACATCCCCACAGTACAGAATCATAAAGTTAATACTTGGCACTTAAAACTATTTCAAAATACAATGCACATTAAAGAGGTGTCGGGGAGTGTATCACCAAGACCTTAAAAAGGATTTAAAACATGCATTTTTTATTTTTTTGGTTTTTTGAGACAGAGTTTATCTGTGTAGCTTTGCGCCTTTCCTGGAACTCACTCTGTAGCCCAGGCTGGCCTCAAATTCACAGAGATCTGCCTACCTCTGCTTCCGGAGTGCTGGGATTAAAGGTGTGCGCCACCGCTCGGCTAAAGCATGCATTGTTATAAAACACACTCATTGCTCCAAGCTGCCTGGCATGTCAGACTTCTAAATCAACTAAGTTACTGACCAATTGCTTTAGCCTTAACAGACAGGAAAGTACCCCTCCTGCAAGGCAGCGTACAGTACTTTTGGAACTCAGGTCTTAATTAATCAAGTGAAGCTGCTGGATTACTTGAATCTGCTGCTGCTGCTGCTGCTGCTGCTGCTGCTGCTGCTGCTGCTGCTGCTGCTGCTGTTGCTGCTGCTGCAAGGCAGAAGAGAGCTGGAGTCTCTGCTGAGGGAGGCTTTGCTCAGGTCTGTTCTCAGCAGAGCCGAGCTGAGACAACACTACAGGAGAGGGGAAAGCAGGCCAGTCAAAAAGTTTGAAGGCGACCAGGGTTAGAGAAGGAGAACCTTAAGTATCAAATCATACATATTTCAGAATAAATGTAATCTCCTGCTAATTGAGGGTATCACTGATTCCAGAACATTCTGGCCATACAGAGGGAAAGGAGTACACAGACTAAGGTACTGCATTCCCTCCTCCTCCTCTTTTTTCTTTTTTTGAGACAAGAGTCTTATCCCAGACTGGCTTCAGAACTATGTAGACAGAAGAGGTTAACCCGGAACTCCTGATTCTCTTTTCTTCACCTGCAGAACGCTTTGGTTACAGGTTTGTGCCATTGTATCCAGTGTTCTGCAGTACTGAAGCACTCTAGTACCTCAGCTACATCCTGCCTCCATGGCATCCTCTCTGCATCCCCATGGAACTTGATACTGGACCTTGATCTGGAAGCCACCATGATGTGAAATAGTAAGATCTTTTAAAATACAACATCCAGTGAGCACACAGAGGTGAACTAAGACTTGCAGCTGATGGGGCCATGCCAATCATTCAACATTCTTAAGTACTGGTGAAAAGGCTGATCTGGCCTAAGTGACTGCAGTTTGTTTGAAACTAGACAAATTCTCATGATCTGTCTACAATTCTTTTCACAAATTTACTATGGCTATTTTAGAAAAATTGTAACTTGTGTAGTAAAGGTACACTAGTTACAAATCTGCATTTAGAATTCCACTAATTCTGAATTATAGCTCTATGGAAGAATTATTTTCCTCCTCCTAAGGGACATCTAAATTTGACAACTGGCAGTTACAGTTTAGAAACCTAAAGGCACAGTCAGTGCACAGGGACAATTGACAGAATCCTCAAATTCCATTGTAATTTTGTTAATTTATTTTTAAGAAAACTCTAGCATGTGGCTTATTCAAATGTGAAGTCATAATTCAACAAATATTACCTTTTGTTTACTATTTCCTACTGAAAGTTGGAGCATTCAAGTTAGTTTCATTTTTATAAACAAGTAGCTCACAGAAGTTTTGCTAATTATGAAGATTTAATTCATACAACTACAAACTGAGAAAAATTATACTATCTAGGAAAATGTGGTCCCAGATAATTAAGAAAACATCCACTTGCAGTGCAAACACTGAAAACTGCTTTGGTAGAATGTGTAAAAGTTTGCCAGTTAACCAATATAAAGAGAACACATTATGTGTATGAGTCAAAGCTTTCACAATCAACTGTCAAAGTAATTTTGAAAGGAAAAACTCTTGGCCAGCTGTTTGTTAATCTAATAGTTCACAGATAAAATGCTTCAGATTTTTCTCATTACTGCTTGCAAGGAAGAAAAGGGAAATAATTGACACAGTGAGGTCTCAATAGGAGTCAGGCTAATACCTACCAGCTGCCGGTGACTGTGTAAAGCCGCCTAATCCAGTAAGATTAACAACAGCAGCTTGTTGAGCAGTTAAGGCCTGTTCTTGAGCAGTTAAACCTTGTTCAGAACCCTGAATTTAAAAAAGAAAAAAAAATTAGCAAGTGACTTGTGCAAAAAGAGCAAAATAATTTCACCCAGTGAAAAGACAGCTTTTATTTGATGTCGGAGGAAGAATAAACAGTAGCTTAGGTTTCATATAAATATATAAACTATATATGAAATATATTTCATATAAATATATAAACTATGAACACATATAGAAGTAGCAAGAATGGAACCCAATCCTTGGAATGAACAACAACAACAAAAACAAAACAAAAAAACAAAACAAAACAAAACAAAAAACACCCTAAAATAAAAACCTTCAGAACAGTGCTATTGTAAAACAAAAGAAAAACTCAACAATGTAAAAAAATCAATTCATTGGATACAATTTGTTTCCTAAAATGACCCACAAAGACTAAATATCACAAATAGAATGAGATGTTTACCAACAAGCTAGAATAGTGACTAAAAACCATAAATAAAAAAATAATATCAACTAATAAAGCATCCAGGAAAAAATGAAATAGGAAAAGGTATACAATCTTAGTAGTAATCAAAGGAAGCAAAAAAAGATATAGAGGGTCATTTACTAATTATAGAGGTCAATTGGATCATAATAATCTTAAATGTCTCAACCTAAAGATACAGCTTCAAACCTAACCTTCAAAGCTGACTGTGCTGGTCCAATCAGCCAGGCAGACTCTCAACTCATTCTCATTTTGGATAGCTGCTACTCAAAACAAAACTGGCTTAAACAGGAAGTGCAGTGATGAGTGCATGCCCAGCCTGCAAGAGGCACTGAGTTTGATCCCTACCACAATAAACGGGAAAATAAACAGGAAACCCAAGAGTAGAAGTTAATAAGCCACCAGCAAAGATTTGGACAGACTGCCCCTTGTCCACAGTGCTGATCGGAATGTAAAACAATGCAGTACTACAGTAGAAAACAGTGTGTGGTCTCAGGAAAGTAAGTATTCCTGTAAGACCCAGTAAGTTCTTGACACATCCAAGTGAATGATCTGTCTGATGTGACAGTAAGAGACAAAAAAGGACACATGGACCATGATTCCATCTCCCTGCACGAGGCACTGTGTTTTTCCATCAAAAACACAGCACAATGGCAGCTGCCAGTATTTGGACGGAGGAAGTTATCAGCTGTTAATAAAGTTTCAATTTTGCAAGATGAAAAATGCTTTGTACAATAGTGTGAATGTACTCAGTACTACTAAAATGTACACTTAAATGGCAAACAGCAGGCACAGTCCGCCGACACCCCCCTCCACCCCCCCCAACCCCCCCCCCCCGGGTCATCCCGGGGTGCTGGAGCAAAAGGAATGCTGAGTTCCCATCTAGGCTGGAGTGAGAGTCTGCTTCAGAAACAGCAACACCAAAAAGCTCCAACAGTAAACTTCCGGTGAAGGCACTTTTCCCCAAGGTTGATCACAGAACCCAACAGTGGAAGGACAGAACCTACTCTACCAGTCCTCTGGCCTCATGTGCACCATCGCCCACACACAGACATAAGGAAAATAAAATTTGTTTTTAAAAAGTGAAAGAAACAGGGCTGGAGAGATGGCTCAGAGGTTAAGAGCACTGACTGCTCTTCCAGAGGTCCTGAGTTCAATTCCCAGCATCCACATGGTGGCTCACAACCATCTAGAATGAGATCTGGCGCCCTCTTCTGGCCTTCAGTCACATATGCTGTATACATAAATAAATAAATCTTTAAAAAAAAAAAAAAAAAGTGAAAGAAACAAAATGAGAAATCTTATCAGTGAAGCAAAACCGTAATGTGCTAATATAGAAAAAGTTTTCAATGTGTCCTCTCTGAGAAACTTACTAGAAGATAAGGTTCATCCACTGAAGGCCTGAAGGAGTGATGTCCAGGAGGGCTGATGGGTAGTTTTAGCATCAGCTGAGACACTCAAAGTGGGAGGCAGGAATAAGTATGCTGAGTTTCCCAAATGATTCTACAGAACAGCCGAAGTCCAGAAACACTTGTCCCTTTCTCTAAGACTTCAGTTTATCTGATTATACCCTGACTGGCAGGGTGTAATATCTGCTTCTGTCTGTGTTCCCACTGCCCAGTACTACCAGACAACAAAGACAGATCCACTGCAACAGCAATCAGTTTCTACAAACAAGATGATAGGCAGGT